GCGGGACTACGACGGCCTGGGCGAGCTCGGCGACGCGCTCCGCGCCGGCATGACGCCGGCGGGCCGGAGGAGGGGGAGGAGGAAGACCAGTGCATCCGATTTTGTGTGTCGTTTTGGTGTGCTGATGCCCCCCCCGTCCAGTCTCGCGGTCCCTTCTGCTGCATGCTTGTTGTTTGGGGCTGTGAGGTCTCTGTTCCAACCGCCCCGTCCTCGGACGAGGGGCACAGCAGGTCAGGCCGTCCCCTTGGCCGAAGCTCAGATGGCAAGGTCCAGTGCGCGGCGCGGGCGTAGCTCCGCGGCGTGACCCAGGACCTGCGGCGCGGCTGCGGGCGAGGAGGGGGGCCAGTGCAAACCGAAGACCCCCCGGCGATGTTGCAACAAACCGTCTCTCCAAGCTCCCCCCGTAGAGGCTCCAATAAGGATTCGTTTTCACTGCAGGAAGTGCCCCGTTGGAAGACAACTGCCTGCAAATCTCCAATCGCGCCGCAGCACCATTGCTGGGATTTCGATGCGGCGAATCAGCGTCACAGTTGCGGCCTGATGGTCGCAAATCGTGCTGGGGCTCGAACACCGCGAATCAACGTGGCTTGTCGCTCCTTGACAATCATACATCGCGCCAAACATAATTTTTGGGACGCCAACAGACATACTCCTTCAAACTATTGAAAACAGGCAAGACGAATCCACGCAGCGCTAAGGCGAGAGCCACATGTTGAAAAACGAGTGGCCCTCAATCAGTGAAACTCTTGCGAACTTTGAAGACGAATGGGCGCGGCGCTGAGGCGAGAGCCACATTTTGAAGAGGCACCGCCCTCCATCTGCGAAGCTCTTGCCAGCTTTGGAGACGACCTGCGGGCGGCGAGGAGGCGAGGGTAACATTTTTTGAAGCGGTGCCGCCCTCCATCCGTCAGGCTCTTGCAAGCTTCGAGGCGAAGTGCGCGGCACTGAGGCGAGGACCACTGGTTTGAAAGCCATCCGCCTTCCATCGGGAAAGTTGCTGCAACATTCGAGCTTCAGGGTCATAAGTGGCGAAGGTTTCCCGGGCGAAAGGGGGGAGGAGGAGGAGGAGGAGGAGGAGGAGGAGGAGGAGGAGGAGGAGGAGGAGGAAGAGAAAGGCGGAGGAGGATAGGAGGCAGGAGGAGAAAAGGGGAGGAGGAGGAGGAGGAGGAGAGGCGGAGGAGGAGGAGGAGGGAGGAGGAGGAGGAGGAGGAGGAGGCAGGAGGAGGAGGAGGAGGAGGAGAGAGGAGAGAGGAGAGAGGAGAGAGGAGAGAGGAGAGGAGAGGAGGAGGAGGAGAAGGAGGAGAAAGAGGAGGAAGATGAGGAGGAGGAGGAGGAGGAGGAGGAGGAGGAGAAGTGGAGCGTCGGTATCGGCATTGGTAAGATGCGGCTCGCTGCTGGTTCGAAAAAAGCCGAAGGCACACTCGGCCCATTGAGAAAAGAAGTGGGCAAACGGGTTTTATCCTGAAGCGGACGGGCCCCGATCGAAGAGGGAGCCTGGAACAGAGCCGAGTCCAAGGGCAGCCCTACGACGCTGTCACCTGCGTTGCTCAGCCTGCTCCCTCTTTTTCAGTGCTATCAGTCTCAATTCGGGAGGTAGGGCTGGCACTGGCGGGGGAAGGGAGAGGGCGGGGGGAGGTAAGGATGGTTCCCCCAGTGCGGCCTCGACCTTCTCCAGGCAGACCAAGATCTCCTCCTCTTTCTCCTCCTCTTTCTCCTCCTCATTCTCCTCCTCTTTCTCCTCCTCTTTCTTTTCCTCCTCCTCCTTCTCCTCCTCCTCCTCCTCCTCCTCCTCTTTCTCCTCCTCCTCCTCCTCCTTCTCCTCCTCCTCCTCCTCCTCCTCCTCCTCCTCCTCCTCTTCTTCCTTCCGGTGCAACCAAAGTTCCCCCAGCTAGGGCGGTTGATGGTTGCGGCTGGGGTCGGTCGAATGGGGTGTCCCGTTTTCGGCGTTGGTGAAACATGGCGCAGTTTTGAGCGAGATTGTGATTGTTTTTTATGCACTGTTTTGCTGATCGGCGCGGGCCCTCGCACCCCCCCTCCCCCCCCTATGGAGTAGATCTTGGCTGTTTTTTGGCGCCCGTTTCGAGCGGGTGGAGTCTCCCCCAGAGGCAGCACTCTTGCAATCAGTCGCACTAAGCAGAGGTCTGGAGCCAGACCCCCCCCCCATTTCCGCCCAATGTCGAAGCGCCGAACAAAAAGAACCGCTCACAGGCTCATCTGGGTCCACGTAGGGGCCGACGGCCTGGCAGAAAGCGCAGAGCTCGCCAGGCAGGGGAGACGGGGCCGTCTCAGCGCCTGCATCTGCCGAGGCCCGGCCGTCGTCTCGCACCTGTCCTTGGGGTGCACTTTCTTGGGGGCCGTGCACCGAGAGCGGTCCTCACTCCTTCCCTCGAGGCTCCTGTGCGCTCTCCTGGGCCGAGGAGACCTTCCGTTCCGTCTCGGTTCTCTGATGCTGTCTCGGAGTCCGGGCAATTAGGCGAACAGCCAGAAGAGTCGTCGGCGCTTTGCTGGCCTCTCCGAAGATGTAATTACTGGTGGAGTCATATCATGTGTGCCGCAGGCGATGCCGACCCCCCCCCTCCCCCCATTTCCGCCCAATGTCGAAACGCCGAATAAACAGAACTGGTCAGATTCTCATCTAGGTCCACGTAGGGGCCGACGGCCTGGCAGAAAGCGCAGAGCTCGCCAGGCAGGGGAGACGGGGCCGTCTCAGCACCTGCATCTGCCGAGGCCCGGCCATCGTCTCGCACCTGTCCTTGGGGTGCACTTTCTTGGGGGCCGTGCGCCGAGAACGGTCCTCACTCCTTCCCTCGAGGCTCCTGTGGGCTCTCCTGGGCCGAGGGAGCTTTCCGTTCCGTCCCGGTTCTCTGATGTTGTCTCGGAGTTCGGGTAAGTGGGCGAACCGCCAGAAGAGTCGTCCGGCGCTTTGCTGGCCTCTCCAAAGATGCACTGGTGGAGTCATATCATGTGTGCCGCAGGCGATGCCGACCCCCCCCCTCCCCCCCCGTTTCCGCCCAATGTCGAAACGCCGAATAAAAAGAGCCGCTCACATTCTCATCTGGGTCCAAGTAGGGGCCGATGGCCTGGTAGGAAGCGCAGAGCTCGCCAGGCAGGGGGGTCATATCATGTGTGCCGCAGGCGATGCCGATATCGCCTTGGCCGCATTCAACTTGTAGGCTGTCTCCAGCCAGAGATGCTGGGAGACGTCCGGTCTCCCCATGGTGGCCGGGGTCGCCCTGCTGCCCCCGCCGAGGTGGTCAGCTACTGGAGCAGCGACGACATGCTGTGGATGGACGGCAAGGGGCCCCCTCCCCAGCGCGCCCCGTCGGCAGATCCCGCGCCCCTCTCGGGCTCACGCACTGCCGCCGCAGCCTCCCTCGAGGTTCGAGGATCGAGGGGGTCTTCGAGGATCAAGGACCCTCGAGGATCGAGGATCGAGGAGGCGGAGGAGGCGGAGGAGGAGGAGGCGGAGGAGGAGGAGGAGGCGGAGGAGGAGGAGGAGGAGGACGAGGAGGAGGGCAGATGGAGGATGGGAGGATGGCGGATGGAGGATGATGGGGAGGGTTCGAGGATCGGTGTGGCCCTCGAGGATCGGTGGTCCTCCCCCAGAGGCCCGACGCTCCAGCGAGCAGATGGGAGCGGCGGGGCCTCGGGGCCGTCCTCGGCCGCCGGGGGCCCCCCTCGCCGGGCCCCGGGGCCGTCCAAGGAGGACTCGGGAGGACAGGCTGGCCCTACGCCCAGACGTGATCGCGTCGCAGGAAAAGAAATCAGGAGGGGAGGTTTTCGGCAGCTCTCGGCCTCGGGGGGGCCGTCCAAGAAACGACGCGGGACGAGAAACTGGCCCCGGGGAAAGGGTCGGGCATTCCGGGGACCCTGTCCTGAAACACTCAGGGCGTCGCATGTCTTGGCAGGGAAGTGGTCCAGACCTCGGGGGCCCGCGCATCGAAAAAGAATGGAGAGGCTGGAGGTTTGTGCCAGGAATCGGGGGCCGATGTTTTTCCCCCAGAAGTGCTTGCACTGAGGGGTTCTTCTTTCTCTTCGAAGCTGTCTGGGCCTGCGAGCCGCATGTGGCCGCCGTCGCCGCCTCGTCGCCGCCCGTCACCTGGGCCTGCGGGCCGCTCTGGCCGCCACGTGGCCGCCGTCGCCGCCTCGTCGCCGCCTCGTCGCCGCCTCGTCGCCGCCCGTCGCCTGGGCCTGCGGGCCGCTCTGGCCGCCACGTGGCCGCCCGCCGCCTCGTCGCCGCTCGTCGCCTGGGCACTGCAGTGGAATCGCACTGCGTTGCAATCACATTGCTTTGCAATCGCATGGCGCTGCCGACGGGGCACCCTCGCGCCACCGGCGGGGCACCATGGGCCTTCGAGCGCCTGGGAGGGGGTAACGGTCAAACGGCTCCACGGCCCCTAGCCACGGCGGCATCATTCCCTTCGCACGCACGACACGAACACGAAATTGAAACCGATTTCCCAGTGGGGGCATCTCCGTTCCACTGCGCTCTCACCCCCCAACCTCCGATAGCGACGATGCCAGAAAAGGCAACAAGGATTTATAGCTAAATTGTTTGTTGTTCCTTCCTGCATTTTTGCCTGCATCCCCCAAACTCCAAGGGCCAAGGTGCATGGCACGAAGCGCCGATGCAGTCTTGCGTGCATGCACATACATACATACATACATACTCCGATTTATATATGTTTACAGGGCCTGCAGGAAACATGGAACGACACAGGATAATTCAAGGCTGTCATCCCACTTAGTGGGATTGTGAGTCCCCGAGGCACCAAGGCCTCAAGAGACTCTGAGTGAGGTTGACTGAGCATGCTCTGTTGCGTATGCTTCTGTACTGTGGAGAGCCAGTTTTGGCTCAACTCATGCTGAGGTGGAAAAGGATTTCACCAGCCCTGTCGGGCAAGGTCCGTGGACCCCAGCTCCGCTACTTAAGTTATCAAGATAACTCACAGAGATTCATTTCAGTACTTGCATGGTAGCGTGATTGGTTTCTTCTCATAATGGCTGGTCTTGTGGACACGCGCCTGCTGGGACGACCGAACAAGTACTCAGGCAACCGCGACGAGTTCCCGACCTTCAGATACCAGCTGATCTGCTACTTGGGTGCCATCGACCCGAGATTGGCACAAGCAGTCACGACAGCAGCTACCCACGGCAATGTCATTACGCTTTCAGAGATGGGCGACGATAACAAGCAGTTTGCAGCGACGATGGGATACATTCTATCACAGTTGCTCGGAGGCAGCGCGCTAACCTTGGTGATGAATTGTGAGCCAGGCAACGGCCTGGAGCAGTGGCGACGTCTTTGTCTACGCGAGGATGCGGCTACTGCCTCCAACAAGGTGGCGCAGCTGCAGCTTCTTGTGAACACAGAGTTTTCAGGCAAGTGGGAGACCTACGTCGAGGAGCTCACGAAGTTTCTACTGGACATCAACCGATATCAAGAGAAGTTTTCAGAGGTGATCTCGGACACCCTTGTCCAAGCCTTGATCAAGAGGAACACGCCCGAGCCGCTGAAGACTCAGGTGATGATGCTGACCTTCACGACCCACCAGATCCTACGGGAGACTTGCGAGGCCTTCGCTCAGCAGATGATGCAGCGCGACCCGAAGGCGACCAAGAAGAAGTTCGACCCGAACGCCATGGACGTGGACGCTTTCGACAAGGGCGGCAAGGGCGATTCCAAGGGCAAGGGCTTCGGCGGCAAGTCAGACCAGAAGGGCAGCGGTGGCAAGTCGAGCAGTCAAAGAAGTGTTTGGCAGAGCTCGGGCGGCAAAGGTGGCAAGGGCGACGGCAAGAACAAGATGAAGAGCAAGAAGGGCGAGACGAAGCTCTTCGACGGATGGTGTTCGAATCCCCACTGCGGCAAGTACGGGCACAAGATCGCGGACTGCAGGAAGTACGGCGGCGGTGCTTATCAGCCTGGAGGAGGTCAGCGATCCGTTTCTGAGGTTCAGCCAGGACCTCAACCAGCTCCAGGATCGGGCTCAGCAAGTACGGTCCATCCAGGAGATTCAGCGCCACAGACACAAGTACGTGGAACTGGGCGCGTACAGGCAGCAGTACTACCAGATGACGAAGGGGGTTGGATTTTTGCGTTTACGGACGACACTGACGGGGACGAATGCGAGATGCTCGTAGATAGTGGAGCTCACACTCATATTGTACCAAAGGCTATGACGGAGAAGTGCAAGCTCACGGGCGAGCCAGGTCAGTCTCTGCGATCCATTACTGGTAAGGGTATTCGGACTTGGGATAAGCGGACGTTGACGGGTGAGGTCTTCGATTCGAACACGTCGATCCCTGCAAAGCTAGACGTCACGCCAGCTGAAATTCGTAGAGGTGCCCTTTCAGTTGCAGAGATGAATGATGCAGGTTATTCGGTACACATTGATCCTGACGGAGCCAAGATGTTCAAAAACAACAAGAATGTGCAGCACGAGATAGATAAAGCGATCGAGTCGACAGTGACTTTGCAGTTACGACGGAAGGTGAATGCGTTTCTTCTTCCCATGAGGTTCAAGGATCCGACAGGCTACGAGTCCATCATCGGCGATGTCGAGGACCACTCTGAGAAGGACGACGCGCAGATGAAGGAGGAGCCTTTCGAGACACAGCCTGTGGAGGTGCAGGCTGACAGTGGAGCGGCTAGTTCACGTGATGGCCCACGTGGTGTCGCAGAAGGAGTTCCAGATCAGACGGAGGCACCCGTCGCACCCGGGCTCCAAGAGACCAGCTCGGATGTCAGGAGAATAGGTCAAAGCGCACATTCGGAGAGGTCACATTCCTTTCGAAGCTTGGTGTCAGGAGTGCATGATGGGACGAGGGCAAGAAGACCCTCATCGCGCGAGAGATCCAAGCGCATCGGCTACTCCAGTTATATCATTCGACTATGGGTTTCCCAGTCTTGGTGAAGATGGATCAGGTCGGCGCCTTGCCCTGGCAGTCGGCAAGGACAGAAGGACAGGCTACCTCATGGGAGTTGTCGTGGAGGCTAAAGGCAATCAGAGCTACGCTATAGCGGCCATCAGCGAGTACCTGGACGAGCTTGGCTACATGAGTATGGAAGTTCAGTTAGACGGAGAACCAGCACTGGAGGCACTCATGAATGGAGTGATTTCGGGGCGTATCAAGAAGCTCGGCAAAGAGGCAGCTGAAGCTCAACTTCGAGTACGGCTAGTTCCAAAAGGAAGTCACGCTTCTCAAGGTGGAGTTGAAAGTGGAGTCAAGTCGGTTGCAGGTCTTGCGAGGACTGGGCGTTTGGCTATGGAGAAGCGTTACAACATGAAGTTCACTGAGGGTGTTCCTATCATACCTTGGATGATTCGGCATCAGATATTCTGCCACAACAGGTACCAGCGGAGGAGGAGCAGCGGTCGCACATCTTTTGAGGAGCTCAGGTTGGCACCGTGCACTTCACCCATGCTGGAGTTCGGAGAGACAGTGATCGGCAAGGAGCACACGGAGCTGCAGGACAAGCTGGGCACGGCCTGGTGCAAGGGACTGTGGCTCGGACGCAGCTCGAAGAGTGATGCTCATCTTATCGGCACGGCGACGGGGGTAGTTCAGGCCAGGACAGTGAAGCAGCTGACGACGGAGGAGAGCTTCGACATGGAGATGCTCAAAGCCATGCGTTGGACGCCTTGGAGGACCTCGGTTAAAGCTGGAGTCTACGAGGGCGAGAATTGGCAGCCGACGGAGGGATGCCCTGGGTGTGAGTATGCAGCTAAAGGTCAGCACGGACGAGGACGGCCACCACGCCACAGCAGGACATGCCAGCAGCGTCGGGCCGAGTACGAGAAGTCAATCGCCAGCAAGGGCGACGAGCAGCCGAAGGTGGTCGTGGTTCCCGCACCTGCGGCCAGCTCGGAGGCTGACAACGGCGAGCAGCAAGCACAGCGACCAGCAGGGCCAGAGCCAGCACAAGCACAGCGAGCAGCAAGCAGCCAGGGCCAGACCAGCGAGCAGCAAGCACAGCGACCAGCGTCAAGATCCAGTTGAAGCAGTTCGTCGGGAGGTGCAGAAGATCGAGAAGAGGCTTCGTGGCAAGCAGGGAGTACCAGCTCCAGGGTCATCCGCTAAGCGAGGAGCTGCTGACGCTGACCTCGGTGAAGGCGGCCCTGGAGGCCCACCTGGGAATCGAGGCTTGGTGGGAGCCATCGAGAGCTTGAGCACTGGCGACCTCAAGAGGCTCGTGGCGGGCTTCAGCACGGAGGAGATGATGAGGCTCGTGGGCGAGGTCGACAAGGAGCTGAAGGACGACAGCGAGTTCAGCATCGTGATGGGCTGGACCGAGGACGACGAGTGGGAGGCGAAGCAGTGCGAGCTAGATCGGTTCGACAACTACGACGTGTGGGAGCTCACGCTGAGGGGCCCTCACGGGCCTAAGGCACTTACGTGGACTTGGGTTTTGGGGATGAGGAGTGGTGAGCTCAAGGCGAGGCTTTGTGCGCGACCAGTCGGCAAGCAGGTCAACAAGAGCAAGAATGAGCTGCACTGCCCTACTCCACTTCCTTTCTCACTCAAGCTGCTCATGGTCTACGCTATCGTTAAGGATTTCGCCATCTTCTTTTTCGACATATCTCGAGCGTTCCTGTACACGCCGATTCGGGAGTTGGTGTACGCAGAGGTCCCGAAGGAGTATTGCCATCTTCCCGATAGTTCGGATTGGGTTTTCAAGCTCAATTAGACCGTCTACGGACTTAACGAGGCGATGATCGATTTCGACGACCACTTTGAGAACATCGCTACAGGACGGAGTGTGAATGGAACCCGTGTAATACCCTCATATATACTCCTTATCCTTACCTCTCCCGCACCTGGCCGTTTGGGCTCAGGTACTGAGTTGGAGCGATCGTACCTTGATCGCGTGGGAGGGAAAGATATCCATCTATCCCTCCATCTCTCTACCAACGGACCAGGGGTTCTGTACCCTTGTACTTCAACCCCATACACAGGTTATCAGCCCTTTAAAGCTCACCCTCACCGACTCGCCCGCGGTGACCTCGCATGCGAGCCTGATGGAGCCACTTCGGCGCATGCGCCGCAAGGGTTCCATCGGCCCTTCGCGTCCGAGCTCTCCCACGGCCCGACGGCTCGGTGACGAGTTGGAGAGCATTAATGCGGACTGTGTTGGTGTTCCAGATACCCCCCCCCCAGCTCCCAAGGACCCGAGGCGCGACTAGCTGCTGAACTTCGCCGCAGCGCCGCCCGCGGGGGGACAGGAGAAGGAGTAGGAACAGGAAGGAAGGAGTTTCACACGCCGGCCTTTGATCCTCCCTCCCCTTCCCCGCCGGGAGCAATCCCAACCGCGTCAGGCGAAAGCCTTACTGGTCTCGATACTCCAGGGCGCTTTCGCGCTAACCGCCGATGGACCTCAGGTGCTGGGACCCCCAGCCCTGCGACCGTCCCTGTGGCGGAGCACGTAGCTACCTTCGAGGAACTCAGTAGACCAGTGTCGGCACAGCCACAGACGCGGCACCCCAAGGTATCATCGGATGAGACACCACACACACACGGTCCGAGTCGCAGCTCGTCCGCGCGCAACCGCCGTGGAGCCCCAGGCCCATACGGCGAAAGCAGGTCAAGCCCGCGCACTGCCTCTCAGAGGCCATGCACTCCCCGCGACAGGGGACACAGGGAAGCTGACGCTCCCCACCTCTCCATCTCAGACGACCAGCTGGCGGAGACGTCCGCCGCAGGTGACATAGCTGAGCTCAGAGACCAGGTTGAAACCTTCGTGTCCAGCCAATACTCTGGACTACTACAGAGCGTTCAGACGAACGCCACGGATACTGCAGCCATGCGCCGCGATCTTGACGGCGCCTTAGGGATCATCGATTCCAGGATCGCCGAAGATAGACGCATCATAGGAGAACTGCAGTACCAGGTTGATCGTGAGGTGTCACACTCAGGTGAACGAACGGCGACGGTCGAGAACCTGCGCAACTACCTCGCGCAGATGGAGCAACAGCTTGTGCTCGTACGCGACACAGGCGTTTCAGCAGTCAGGATTTTACATGATGAGATCCACGACCAGCTCCGCAACTGACCAACACCAGCCGAGGCCACAGACCTTGGCGACGTTCAGTCTCAGATCAATGATCTTCGATCTTATCTAGACCACACTACGGCGACGCTTCGCACCGAAGCACACACCAACTCGTCGAACTTGATCGACATGTTGCAGCGTACTGAGAGAGTCATCACTCAAAGGCTTGATGCGACCAACGCTGTCGTGCAGCAACTCGCTAACCGGATCTCTGACATCGAGCAGCGTTTTCCTTGTGTACAGGACGCCCTGGCAGAGTTGCGTGTCGGACGAGCCCAGACTGATCAGCTGGATTTCCCTCCCACGGTTTACGATTTCGCCCGCCCCACTGACAGGTTGCAGGAGGTTGAGAAGGCGGCGGACCACACGCAGTTGGAGCTCTCCCAGGTTATTTGTGAAAGAGATACTGAGAAGGTACGTGTAGAGAGTCATCTCGCACGTCTGGAAAGCGAGCTGGAGGCACAAAGCGCCCGTCTCCGAGCATACGAGCAACGACTTGATCGGTATTCACAACATTCTCGGGATACTGATGAGTATACACGCCAAAAGGTGGGTCAAATACACGACGATATGACGAGCTGGACGAATCAGCTGATCGACCACACCAACGACACCAACCTCCACCTTCGACCTGCAGCCGACCTGCACAGGCCGACGGCAGCGTCCGCCGAAGCAACACAAGCCTCTGCAGGACAACAACGACGCACGTCACCAGGAGCAGCCTCTGCGGCAGCTTCTGCACAGACACGCCATGTGTCTCCTGTGCGCACAGAACCAACTACCGACGGTGCACCGATACCCTCACAACCATTGTCTGCGGTGCCGGTCCATACTACAACTCCTATCAAGGAGTCAGACACCGTCCGAGTCCCTGTCTTGCCTAAGATCACGCAACTGCTCGAGTGGCAGCAAAAAGTACGGAAGAATTTCGGGGCCGCCTCAGGGCGACCATCCAAAGCATACGCCTTCCTATGCGTGGCTGAACAACCCGAATGTACACTCGAGGACTTACAAGACAGTGGAGACTTTGAGAGCATCGATTGCAAACTCGCTACCGCTCTGAGCGACATCTTATCCTCAGACTTGCGCTACCAAATCAGGCTCATCGAAACCAGAGAGCACAAAGCAGGACGCATGCTCAAAGGACGCCAGATATACTGGCATATCCTACAGTCCTACAAAGTGACAGACGTTGACGACGATCTGCACGATTTCGAGCGCCTTAAAGAACTGAGGATGAGAGATGAAGATTTGCAACGTTTCATTACCGATTGGGACGCCTTACTCTTGGAATGCCGAGAAGTACCCGATCCAAAGATATTAGAATCGCTATTTCGCACACAGATTCGTAGACATGCATGGATGAAACAAGACATGTACGAGTGCCAGCGCATGAAGATGAGCGACCCGAATCGTACCTACGGTTGGCTTCGACAGCGTGTCCTGGACATACTGGAGATTAAACAATTGGAGAAGAATCAAAACCAGCTACGGTACGAACACGAGACACGATCTCAGGTCAACGTGTGCGCTGCATGGAAGAAAGGCAATTGTCGCAACGGTGAACGGTGCAAGGCTTTA